ACTTACCATAACATGGTGAAGTAAAAACTCCCAAGATGCTTTTGCATACCCACTAAAAATAATGTCAGCAGCATCCTGAATGAAGTATCCTGTTGAAGGAGATCAATGCTGATTTTTTTTGACTGGACAAAACTTTAGTATAATACATATATATTGTATATACAAATACATCTACTCTCAAATGCTCAGTCACATTCTTTCTTGTCTTTTGGATTCATGCTGACATGCTGTTAAAGTATGCAGGTGTCTCTCTCATCAACATAATATGTTTGCAAATGTAAAAGCAAGGTATGGAAGCTTATATTAAACAACTCCAGCTTTAACTATTCAAAGACTGTGAGAGAAAAATAGCTTTAAGATGTTAATTGTTTTCTACAACATCATTCCAAAGACCTGAGTCACAAAACAGCTTCAACTCTTATCAGGAGATCAGGGTTACACAGAGGCGGGACAGGGGCTCCTACACAGCCGGACGTTCAGGAGAACATGAGCATCAGATAAATAAGACACGAGTTACATCATTTGTAAACTTCCTACATGTGTCAAGGGTCTAGGTTAATTGTGTTGCACATGTTTACTGACCAGATGAGACGACGACTAGCATGTATGCTGATGGGGTGTAGGTGGAGTGGATTTCATGCACCATCACAGGATGCTGTATGATGCTGTCGGGACATAGATTCATGCAGACTGTTGATCATATCAACCAGAAGATCAAAATAATACTGCGCTTAATAACTGACAAAAGACAGTGGAAAAGTCCACTGATGATCGATCAAAACAAACACCCACAATGGTGAAACTCTTGCTTGGGTTGAAGTCTGAAGTGATTCATACTATGACAATTCTAATGGTGTAATTTCTTTTAGTCGCACTCTCATGCTCTCATTCATGCCTGTCTAGCAGGTTTTTCCAGTTTCCAAACTGAGAGATCTGTAACTGAAGGTTAAGTGCGGTTCATGAACATTCAGTAACTTGCGTTTATTGGTAGACACTGCTATTAGTACAAACTATAGCAACGTCTAACTATAAACACAAGCTATCAGGATATAAACATAACTGTAATATACTTTGAAGCTACTCGAGATACTAAACCTCGGCAGTGTCACTTATTCAAGATTTTGGTTTGCAAAAATAGTTAAACCCTTAAAATATGATAAATGTTTTAAGACCATTTATTAGACATTTTTAGAAAAGCTAATACATTTATCATATTTTAAGGATGTTTAAATATTCTTACAAGACAAAATAATGAAGAGAACAATTGTTAAAAATTGTTTGAAATTCTAAATTGTATTAAATATTAGAACTTCTTGTGAAGAATACATCATATAAAATTCTAAAGATTTATGTTTCAATTTTTGTTCTGGTTTAAGCATAAATCTTACAATATTTTTATTTTTTCACGCTTACAAAAAAGAAAAATAGCTAAAACAACAACAACAACAAATGTGATAAAAAATTTATTAGTTTTAATATCTTACTTTGCCTCTCAATTAAAATTATAATTTACAAATGAATTAAAATGATGCAATCATATTTTAATGTTAAAATATTGATCAGGTATATATATTACATAAAATAAAGTGATTTCAAGTTCTTGCTGTAAAACAAATCACTGAAAAAAAGAAGAATAAAAAAACAACAACTCACCAGGCGACGGCCCAGATGCCAGTCAGCAGTGAGTGGACGAGTGACACTGAGAGGTTCCTCCATTTCCACATCCTCCAGGGGTCTACTTCCACCGTCCCGGGACTGGGCACAGTCTGCAGGAACCGGTGAAGGATCCTGAAGATTACAGAACAGCACAAGACATACAGGGCCGGATGCTTCTGGACTTCATTCAGCCATGTGTCCATCCTGCACACTTTATTCTGTGTCTCTCTTCTTCTCAGACAGCGAGTCCTTGTTGTTCCCTTGCTGATTTAAACTTTCTGTGCCCTTTCCAAAAGAATCCACATGAATTGCATTCAAATTCTTGAACCAGTCACTGGCTTTCTTTTTCTCCTTGTAATTGGCGACAGTCTTCCTTACACCAGTACAAACTTTGTATCTATTCTCCACCTTCTCGTCCCTTCCTCCACGTGCTGGTGCCTGTCATAGGTGTGGCATCTGTCACAGTACCTGTTTGCTGAACACTGATTGGCTGATGATGAATGGATCTGTGGGAGTGTTACAACAAGGAATGACGACTGTATCTCTCACTTAAACTTTTTGTGTCCATCTCCCTGCATTCCACGATCCAGCAAATCGCTTCATGCATGTAGTGATAGAGTCGCATCGTGTGTGTGTGTGTGTGTGTGTGTGAGAGAGAGAGAGAGAGAGAGAGAGAGAGAGAGAGAGAGAGAGAGAGAGAGAGAGAGAGAGAGAG